TTGGGACCCAGAGATCATGGTCACCGGTGGTTAGAGACACTGAGCGATATGGCTGGGTGTAGCAAACAGCGGCGCTCATGCATCTATTAATCATTCTTGTAACTTCAAACTATGAAAATGTGCTACCTTCCGCATAAATGTGCTCTCAACATTCTAATCATCATTCTGCTTTTTTATCCAAATGGGCAACCAAAACCGGCGCACGAAAGTGCATAGTTAATGGTTGTAAGAACTGAACTGAACTATCACAGGGTGAGTAATGCTAAGTGGGCAGCGAGCGATATGACCGGAGGTTGAGAGCTTACCCTTACGTGATCCCGATTCACTAGGTCGATCACTGTCGGATGAAGTGTAGCCATCGTCTGCTGATTCACGCACAGTACTTTCATCATGATAGTCAGGATTTTTGTTTGTGCACTCCACATACAGCACTGAACCACCCATAGAGGTCCAAGCCAAACCCATGACCACACCGGGCGGTGTGTTTGTTTCGTATAACCGGTCCGTCATCCATACTGGCTGACCCACATAGGCGGTGACATTGTCCGCATTAATCACCAGAGGTGGTTCCTTTTCCGCATTCACCAATTGATAGGCCACTTTGCGTACAATCTGAAATCATCAGTAAGAAAGAGTGAGAAACGAAAAACTACTGCGTAACCAGACAGCTCAATGGGCATAGATGATAGATGATCACCCAGGGTTGTCGGTGCTATTTCCAGAAAAGACCGATGGAGAAAAATCCACTTTTTCGTCTTAACAACCAAGTTTTTGTTGCAAACAGTAGCCTAAACGATGGAGATAAGTAAGGCAGACCCCAACCAAATTTGTAGCATCAACAGGGTTTAGAAGAGAACCGAATGCCCTCAACGGGTTACAACTACAAAATGCTTGTTGGTGACAAAACCGCTGGTGTATCCAAGCCTTGACACAGATGTCAACTATGGTCCGTCCGCGTGAGAATTTTGTAAGTTAAGTTATGCAAATAAAATACTAATTCTGCACAGCCCTCCAGCCATTCTGACGGTATATAGTGTGACTTATTTGATTGCAGCAGATCAAAACGGCACAAAGTGTGACAGAGCTTTTCAGTTACGTAATCGATCATTAAATATTTTCCGATTCCATTATCTCCTGACGAATATTTGTGGATAATAAATCAGTTGGGGTTCCCACGTTTGCTCCATTTGAAAGTGAACAACTGAAAAGAATCGCTCCGTTCAGTCAGCCATCTCAACGACTTATGAGTATTTTGCACAGTTGAACAAATGAATATATTTTAGACTATAGAACAACACCAACCTACAAATACCCCGTTCGAAAGCACAATATGACGATGAAAGCGGAACACGTGATTAGATGCTAACAACGCTATATAACGAGATAACGGGGTGGTAAATCACAGATTGGATATTTTAGAATAGCGGAAACATTGCAAGTACTAATTTACGGACAAAAGCACGAGTAGAATGTTAGAGAGAGAAAAATGATGAGAGTACTGCTCACCTTTTCAACATGCTTCTGTAGATTTCGCACTCCACTTTCACGACAATACTGTTTGATGAGACGGAGTAAAGCATCATCTTGTACGGTCAGACGATCGTCGTTCAGCCCACAATCGGAAGCCGCCTGGGGCAACAGGTAGCGCTGAAACGATGGCGGAGCATCGGTTAAGATGGAGGCACAAACAGCGATCAGTATGGACAAACAACATTGTGCTCTCATTCGGGACGCGGTTAAAGAAGCAGTCAGAACTCCATTGGCCGACTCTTCCTTCGTTGATACCAATGCATTAATGAAAGGTGGCAGTTAGACTACTGAGTAAAACGTACACAATGGATCAAAGCCAACTTATCGAAATACTTTTACTGAGATTCGGACTTCAAACGTCGAACATGTCACGTTATGTGCAGATGAAGCCAGGGGACTAACAACATAATGTTACACAGGTGACTTGTTTTTTGGTCTGGAAAATTTGCCGTCTCTGGGCTCAGGGATACGAACCGCTACTTTAACTCGATATAAAATACAAGAGGTTCAACTATCCGGTTATTAACATGTTGCGGTTAGATGTAAACAAATTTTCATCAGACTATCGTATGAAATGGGGTAGAAAAGGATTTTACGGACGAGGTACTATTTGGGAAGTTTTAATGGTGAGACAGAAGGTAGAGGGACCCGGGAAAACCACCATGATACGTACCCCGAACGACCGGTCGACAGTCCGGTCCATCTACCATCAAGTTATGCGAAACTAAGAAGAGGTGGGGAGGAAACATTCAAGTATTTCCTAGAGCAAGTCGATGACGAGAACAGCAGGATGGGAATGGCGTTTCCCCCATGAATGACGGAAAGATTGTATGAAAACACGAAATAGACCATTTGAATTTACAAAACAGCCCGTAAAAAGGTGACGGGAAAGATTCCATAAAATACAAACTAATCGTGTTCGTGTTCCAGTGTGAGCGATGGACAATGTGTTACGCATAGTTGTCGAATGAAGTTCACGTCGTCATGGTTGGACGGGAAGAACACCAAGGTAGACCAGACCATGACCGGGTGTGGAAACCGGAGCTAAGGGCCTTTTAGTTCGGGTTCCTAAAGATACCTGAAAAAACATTTTCCTTATTTTCCTACTTATTTTTATAAACTTCGAATTTTGGCTCCGGAAAAGCCTCAGACTACACCACCGGACATATTCGATCCTGATTGGTCTATTCCTTGATGACCATCTACTTTCAAGCTGATTTCCAAGGTAATTGCTGGCCGGTCTCAAAACTGTATAAGAACAGACGAGTTGCCCACAACCATCGCCTTTTGGGTCGAGCCAAATAAACAACCTCGCCTGAAGGCCTGTCATCCGTCTTCTCTCTGGTCGAGGTCGGCAATCGTACTACAATCACAGAGAGTTCTTCCCGTTCTGTGGGAATCGCGCTGGGTACTGCAGTCGAGCGTAGTCGTGTACTGTTCACTCGACTGCTGGGTCGTTACTGTACCTATTCGCGGTCAGTACTGCTGCACGTATCGTTTTGGTCACGGTTCAGGCTGGTCCGGTCGTATCGGTTATCCCAACGTCATAACAGTATCAAACCGGTATTTAGAGATATCTGATGACATCAGACGATTAGTGCCCGAATCCACATCTACCGCGAAGAGTCATGCGCGTTCGAGTTAGAATCTGAAGTGCAACAGGGGTTCGTATCATCCCCGAATGCTGTTCAACTTTGCCGTTGGTTGCATAACTGATCGTTCGACGGAAAGATACCAGGGAGTTCAGATCTCTCCGAACTTACGGCTCACCGATTTAGAATTCACTGATAATATTGCCGTCTTTGGTGGGGATATGTCTAACCCCCAAGTGATCGTTGATTGAATCCATCGACAAGCCCCGAGATTGGCCTAGAGATGAACACATCGAAAACGAAATTCTTCCAGCCAACTATGCACTGGGTAGCACTAGATACGAGTTTCGATTATATTGGGGCTCGAAGGTAGTGCATATCTACCGGCCCGTTCGGGAGTTGAACTCCGGACCCATCGCATGGAGGGCGTGTATTTAACCATGGTGCCAACTAGCTAATGCCAGGGCTGAACCGAATTGATAATTGATGTCGTCTTTAGAGACAGTCAGTCAGTTCAATTAGGTGCCACAGCAACAAAGGGAAACACAGTTGACTATCTGTTAACTCCAATCGAAAGTCCCTCACTAAATAAGGTCTTCCACGCAGGTTACGGGCTAACTGTCCAAAAATCTACTGCGCTGGGTTAGTAATTCGCTTTCGATTGAAGTTAACAGATAGTTTACTGTCTCCCTTTGTTGGTGTCGGACCAATGAATAACTCTGAAGACGACACCAGAACAAACATGAATTGGCAATTCTTTTCAGCTCTGACACGAGCTGGTTCGTAAAGTGGTAACACACCTTTCATGCGATGGGTCCTGAGTTCAAATCCCGAAAGGGACAGTGGATATGCACTACTGATTAGTTCTAATAAGAGCGAAACTCGAGTCTAGTGCTTCCGAGTGTATGGTTGATTGGAAGAGCTGAGGAATGTGCTTGAAGGTGAAGTCTGAAGAATGGTCGGTTCCAGTCAATCAATATCAATTATCCGATAACGCTACTCATAAGTAACTGTGAGTTAAATACGAATTAAAAACTAAAACGTTTGCGACAATCCCAACTCATCCCAAACATGCTTTAATAGTAAACGACGAACTAATCGAATTCGTCCAAAGCTTTAAATGCCAGGACCCAACCATACTCCTCAACGATAAACCTAAAGACGAGGTACAAATGCGCATCGATGCTGTAAGAAAGTCGTTTCTACAGCTGAAGAACTCCGTTTGGCAAAGAAATACAATCAGTGTAAAGACGAAAATACGGGTGTTCTCCGCAGTAGTCCGTCCTGTCTTGCTATTCGGCTGTGAAACCTGGTCAGTTAGAGTCGTAGACTGTCGAAGATTGTAAGTCTTCGATCACTGATGGATAAGAATCATTCTAAGAGTACGATGGATTGATAAGCTCTCAAATGAAGCGATCATAAACTGGTTTTAATCTTATATGTGGACGCTAATACAACAGCAGCGACTTCTATGGTTTAGTCACATTGTGAGTCTGATAACGAACTGACCAAATCTAACTTGACACCACCTCCCGTCCCGAACTGGCGCTGTCGACACGGTGGGCAGCTGAAAATGTGGCTAGACATGGTAAGCAAGAATACCGAAAACCTTGGTTTCGGCTCCGTCTACGGTATTTTCGCCGATGGAAGCCAAGCTGGATATCTATGGATATCTATTTTCTCCCGGGAGCCAGCCGCCGTAAGTAAGTAAGATGGCACGATTAAGTGCCGTGGACAATAGCGTTCGTTGATTCACTTCAAGTTAGGTATCATTCGCTGCATCCATCATTCATTCGTTTTATCAATCAGATGAGTTGTTCAAAGATCGTCATTAAAACCGCATCTCTACGATGCTTATATAGCGGGCGGAAGAGACGTACCCGTGCAATCTCTAGCTTTTCATTTTCCACATAACCGGACACTTCAATCATTTCCATGCGATCACGCAAAGGTTCGGGAATCGTTTCCAACTGGTTGGCGGTGGTAATGAACAACACACGACTCAAATCAACAGTCACATCCAAATAGTGATCAAGGAAGTTGGCATTCTGTTCCGGGTCAAGTAATTCCAGCAGTGCACTGGCTGGATCACCTTGCCAGCCTCTACCAAGTTTGTCAATCTGAACAACAAGGACAGGGAAGGAGAGAGAAGTGCAGATGAGAAACAAGATTACAAAACGGTTCGGATAATTGTATTTCATGCAAAGGGACAATAGAATGGAAGTAAAAACAAATTGTTTACACACAATAGAGGGTAAGCAAATGCCTCATTTATTCCTAGATAAATTACATTACATTTTAGTTCAAATTTATTTCAGTGAAACAATGATCGCATTTTTCATCACACATCACAGTCTGATGCCTAGTAGAAGGTCGGAACCCCGTGTCGCATGGGCATGTTGTCCAGTTATGGGACTTGTCAATCCAATTACTGGGGCTTACGGTGGTGACCTACACAAGACCACGGTAGGATGAGTGTGGTCCGGAACCCAGCGGTAATGGAGCTGTTTACCATCACTCTGATAAGCGTGAGTATTTCAAATAAACAAAACAAACATGCAAACTAGGGTTTTCTTTCTATCACGGTCAGTGAAAAACACTATATGACGGATGAGTGAAAATAGTCGTGAGAGTCGATGAATACCAACAAGTTCTAATGGGACAGGCGTGATATCGAGTTGGGTGACTGCAGAGCTGTATTACCAACGTGAAATTCAATCGTACAGAGGATACACAAATTTGATGGAATTACCCACGAACAACGTGGTGAAGCAGTGCGGGAGGATACGGTGGAACAAAAGGGGTATCCCCAAAAGATGTGTGTGGTGTTAGAAAGCGTGAAAACGAGTATCCGAATGCGAAAGCACAAAGAAGTTGTAAACTATGAACTTCGTGTAAACAGGAGAACAGAGATGGGACTCACTTCATCAATGAGAACTAACGGGTTTTCTGTCTTAGTCTTCTTTAAACATTGGATGATTTTCCCGGGCATCGCACCAACGTATGTACGGCGATGACCTTTGATCTCTGACACGTCTGACATACCGCCAACTGAAAAACGGAAATACTGAACAAAGAGATGAGATAACCGGTAACGTGGATGGGATGAGAATGATGGATTCACGATCAATGAACAGAAAAAAATATTAGTGGGGTAATACGAATAAGGCCAAATACTGGTCTACTGTGTAGGATGTTGCTAATTCCATGCAAAATCACAGACACCATCACTGCCTGTGTTGGTAGTGGTTGATCAGTCTCCATTCCATTGAACACAAAGGTGAGTCTAACTTGGTGAGTTCCGTTCGACTGGAAAAACAGCTTTGTGAATTATTCGTGCCGACAAAGAAATGGGGAAAAGATACCGGAGCTCTCCGCCCACCCCACTCCCCTTAAAAGGATCGAGTTATGAACTAAAATCATGATATCTAGCCCAAGCGATCTTAGCACACAAACTGTTCGTAAAAGATCTAACAAGGAAAAAGTTGTTCAAAAAGTGTCAGAAACGCGGTTAACGCGGCACGAGAGGTGAAAGACCGACACAAAACAGAAAAAGGGTTACACTCAAACGCGGATATCCGTTTGTTTGAACGCTAGGTGTGCCACTTTCCCTTAGCTAAAATGGACTATCCGATTTATTGAAATATGCAAGTCGAACACGACTAGATATCAACAACAACAAAATTGGGTGAATAGCATAGGTTTCTGCGTAGCGGACGCTGATTCAGATGTGCCATGAATCACATCTCGATCAATATCACATAAGGATGATACACGTATTTCGTCAACCTTCAGTTAACGACGGCTCACGCCAGAATAAAACTTTTACTGAGTCTCAAGTGATTAGAGTGCGTGGACAGATGTTAAAATTTAGTACTACCGTTCACAGATTATGACCATTAAATAAGTTAGCTAAGTAAATAAAACAACACCGGAGTCATTTATCAAATAAGCACGTAAACACCGAAACCTTGGTTTTATGCTTGTACAAAAGTACACACATATTAGGCGTCATAATAATAATGATAATAACAATAGAATTTCATTTCAATTCAGGATGAATTCGTTGAGTTCAACAATCAAAACCAGGATTTTCGCTAGACACGTGGACAAAAGTGTGATAGATCCATGAGAAGAAGTATATTAACGAATTTGTATGTCGAAAACCTATCTCAATTTCGGGAATTCAACGTACACATTTGAAGGGAATTAAGTATCACTTTAGGACCTCGATTTTCTCTCTCATCAGGTTGAGACAACTGATAAGGAATAAGCAACAAATACCGTGAACTGACCTTTCGATTCAATGCGCGAGCAATCGATCGGGCGATACTCGTCTTACCGACGCCAGGCGGTCCATAAAAGCACAGAATCTTGCCCTGTGTTGTACCCTTCAACTGGCTGACCGCAATAAATTCCTATCGAAAGACAAGTATGAAGACGACAGTTTAGTTTTCATTACTTTATACTACGGGTATGAAAGGCATCTTGAATAAGAATAGTGACAGGCAAGCTCACACAAGTACACATGGACCTTCGAATTCAATGACTGTAAATATCGAGTGCAAATCTAACAGTTTACTGGTCCAGTGAAAATGATTATCACCATATTATTAAGATGACTTTAGTGATCGGCGAAATTCAAGCAGAAATAAACAAATATTTAACTTAGTGAGAAACCAGACGTACCAAAATGCGTTTCTTCACGTCCTCCATACCGTAATGATCCTCATCGAGGATGCGACGAGCAGAGGCCAGGTCCAAATGTTCCTCGCTGGTTATACCCCATGGTAAAGTAGTTAACCAGTCCAAATAGTTACGTGTAACACTGTTGAGGATAAGCGGGGGGGGGGAGATGAGGGACAATGTGAGGAAGACCGATTAGTTTTAAAACAAAAGTCACAGGTACCCGTAGTCCAAATTGGACTAGTCCTCATTTTCACGGTTTACATTTCGCCGACCAAATTTATGTTAACAATTCATCCGGCGGGAAACGTAACGTTCACATGAGGACGAGACGAGTCGGCAGAAACCAATTGTAAGTACGATAAATAATCGCCAAAATCAACAAATCCCAAATGATCTCACGACTCTTTTGAGAAGATAGACTCTGAGGATGAAAGCCCGAATGAGTGCTTATTCATGTGGGGAGACAAGTTGTTGACTTTCATTGTGTATGATTGTAGGGTGAACCGTGCACTGTGATCGCTGTCTAGCCATCACACAATCCCACCTACAGCACCGGTCTTGACTGCTCTGCAAACGAAGCACTTAGTGAATGAGCTCCCGAGTGTTTAAGTAGGATGTGTTCGGCATCAGAGATTCTTACATTTCTTACGTATCACGTAGTCAACAGATTGCAAACAGCTTTACTGTTGTTCGATTCCACAACATATTTCACTGGGGTCTTTGGTAGTCTGTCTCTCCAAGTCCCATAGCTCAGGTCACTCTAACTAAAACCACTGAGTTCCTGTGCGAAGGAAAGACTATGGCTCACTTGAATTCGGATGAATGATTGTCCAACACACCCAGTTTGTTCAATTCTTCTTCAATCACTTCCATAACCGCCTCCGGGACAATAAGATCCTGCGAAACCAGAGAAAGAAATAGCTAATGTCAGAACGACACTTCGTGGTTCGCGTATTCCATCCTTAAACTGAATACCGAAATTTGATCAAACACCGAGATAAGAGGCAACAAACGGTAGTAAAGGGAATCTCCAGAATCATTTCATTCAAGTCAACAGAGGTATAGGAAACGGGTTGTCGATTTTGGAATGTTCTTCCAACCGATCCCCTGTTTAAGTGAAATTGTAAACAGTTCTGGATAGTGACAACAATAAAAACTTTATTTACAACGAATATTAATAGGTGATGACCGAAAAAGAGCATTAAACAATTGTTTTGTTCCTATAGAGATTCATTAGTAGCGCGTGTGTTTGTGTTTCTCCTGGGACACCCCAAAACACAAAGACGAGAACATAATAGGTAGCACCTAGTGTTTGTACTGTTAAGTAGGTCTATCCAAGCATTAGATACTAAAGATAACAAACTTCTTTTCAAATGAGCATACCCATTTTCATGAAGAACTGTCATCATTTAAAAGCTGCCCGGTAACCTCAAAGGTCTACAGACATGGAGTTGAAACTGTTAACAATGCTCATTCTAGGAATTAGCAAACCACCTACAGCACATCTGCTAGCACAGCGAATTCAGATTAGTAGATTTCGTTGGTTAGGGCACGTATTGCGTATGCCCAACTGTCGTCTGCCGCACCGCGCATTATTCGCTGTAGCTAAGCCGGGCTGGAGGAAACCACGTGGAGGTCAATAGATGACGTGGAGACGAAG